AGCGGGCAGCTTCTTCACAGGTAAACAACTATGCATGGCTTTGCTGAGAAGCACACCTGATCACTTGTCCTTAAATTTAAAATGGCCTCCAGAAAGAGTTGTGCAACTTCAGAAACTAATCAGGCGCTGTTATGCGCGCAGATCTGAGAAACTTCCTCCCCTAAATTTTCCCAGACGAAAATGATCAACTGACTTGTATTTGATGTTAAATCGTGTACAGATTAATCTGTTTATCTCCCTTTGTCAATTGGGTTATCGCGTGAACGCTACACCTTATAGATGCTGCTTTGCTATGACAACGCAAGAGTAGCTAAGTGTTGCAGTTTCAATTTGCATGTTAAGAAGCGACAGCAGGAAGTATTTTTCTTTCAGAGTATTCATGTGGAACAAAATTAGGAATGAAAATAATACAGCGCCAAAGTCTGCCATTTAAAGAATACTTTCCTCTTCAGACTGCGATCATTGGTTAAGCCGATTTTACTCATCAGTCAGCGTAGTACGTCTACAAAACTAACCTGATAATAAACAACTTTAGATTTTGCTTGATTGGTGAGCACAGGACTACCATCGATAATTGAGCAAAAAGTCACCCAAACAAGAAAAAAAAAAGACCATTAACAAACAAATTCAAATCCTTTCTTTTTCCTGTGTTAAGCAGCTGGAGGACAGTAATTTTTAGCTAAGACCATTTTCATATTGTGATGTTTCTTATTGACAAAATAGGAATTTTTTACGCTAGCGGCGAAATTCCCAACCAAACACAATCGCCATTCACGCTCCAGTCAACTTGACAGCTCACTATTTCTCGCAACAAATAAATACAAACCCTTAAATACCTGTCACCATATAAAAATATGAGACCAAGAAAGATTATAGAAGCCAAAGATTTTTTACAGTTTTTCAAGATTAAATTTCACATACGAAGCTTTGTTCATTGCTGATTTAAGCAGTGCGTAGGAAATTTGTCTCATACAAACCTAGTTTATGGTCTAACTCAAAAACGAGGTTTCGGTGAGTGTCCGTAAAGCATCCGAACGAAAATTCGGAAGCACCGAGCGAAGTTCGAATTCTCACGATGATTTACGATTTTCTTTTCGTCCCACGCTCGAGACAAATCAAAAAATCAATATCTTTCGTTCAAATAACAAAAGTTTAAACTAAGTTTATCTAATCGCTTGAAATTGTAACTTTCAAAGATTTGAATATCTAAATTGATATACTCGTCGGTATATAGCGCCTTTAAAAGGCCAGCCAAGCGAGTTTCGGTTATGCTCTCACAGAAGTGGCTAAATATCAAATGCATGGAGTGTGTTCCACAGAGTAGCTCAAGGGAAATGAAGAACTGGAACTAGAAGAAACCGATGACACAGAAGATTTATCAACGAAAACTTAAATCAACTGCGCATTTAGCAACGAAAGGCATTACCATGCTTACTTATGCAGCTCAGTCATTTTAATGCAATCGAAAAAAAAAGTCGACGAAAATGTTGACTCTTTACATATTATAGTATTGTGCAGTGAAAACTGCTAGTTGTGAGAAAAAGATGATAGTTACCTTTTTCCTGTGTTTCTTGTAGTTCTCATAATTCCACATCTTAGTCAATAACTTACTGGACGGGGGAAATCCGCCATTTTTGTATGAATGTAGTGACGTCATTGCTTGTGTTTGGTTGAAGAGAATTTATCTGAAAAAGAATCGATCCAACACGAAAGTAAAAAAAAATTCTACATTCTTCACATGTTGAGTCGAAGGAAAAAAGGGATCAGATCTCATCCACTCCTAAGAGAACAAAGTAGCAATAAAAAGAGATTGCAAAATCTCTAAACCCAAGAATAACGATTATTCATGTTACGTATTCTTGCAACGATTATTCTTATAACGTATTCGGACAACATCCGCTCAGAATGTCGAAACTTCTGTCACACCAAACCATCATAGTGGATTTCATGAAAAGCTGGATCACCCCTCTAGTTTAAGATAAGTATTCGATAAGTATTCCACAGGGGGGGTGTGGGGAGGGAGGGAGGGAGGAAGGAAAATGCTCTCGTGTTCAAACGGGAGGGGAGGGAAGGGAGCTGGGAAGAAGCTGCAGTATCTTTGGGGATTCCACATAATTTATTCTATTTTGGGGGAAAGCAGGCCCCGGGCTCTGCTGTTCCTGTATACTCAGTACTGACTAAGGAGGATATAGATCAGAAAAGGCACTGAAAATGATTCCTTCCAGAAAGATATGCAATGAGGTTTCCAATTGTTAAATTACAGCTATATATCGATCGATCGCAATACGGTTGTCATCGATCTTAAGCCTATAAAGGATATAGAGCGCGTTGAAGAGCATATGAAGAACATAAAACTTACCTTTCGTAGTATGCAGTTGGTTCAGGTTATTCACTCGCTGTCTCCTGTGCATTTACCTCTTATAGTGCTTCTTAATAATTCCGCATGGCGCCTCACAATCTGTAATATGGATGAGTGTTAAAATGAATGAATCGGAAAAATTAAGGAAATGAAGCACAAGCTAAAGTAACAGTAACAGACGTACGTAATTTCGCATTTTTTAGATAAATATAATTTTTGTACATTTTTGGCACTTTCGTTAAATCAGGAGACGTGTATGACAGTTTGAAAGATTTCCAAATTTGCTGACATGTGAAAGCTAATGAAAGTCAATGAGTCGTCATTTACTTTCGTCAGTGTTACCTGGCAAAATGAAAGACCAAGATATAAATATGCTGGAACACTGATCATCAAGGAATTTTAAGGACAACGCAGAAATAAAATGGTAAAATTAATCTTTTTATCTAGAATGAGCAATTTGTCCCAAAGTGAGATAAGGGAATTTATCAATAGCTATACAACCACAGATCGCAGCAAGTTCTTTTTTATACAAAAGCGCGAGCGGACACTTGGAGCGAATTTATTAAGATTGAACCTCTCTGAAGGAGGATGCATTTTGAACCACTACAATGGATCTTAGGACTCGCGGTGATGTCTGCAACGATAAAAGTTTAGCCTCAGTGGGATGTAACTTAACAAGTCAATCAGATATGTATAGCTTGTGCGCGCCCTACGGTGCCCTAAAATGAGGTAGAATAAATATATTTTCTTTCAATCATTTATTTTTTATCTTGATGAAAATTTAAATAATTTTCTATGGCCTTGTTGAATGTTTGAGTCAGTGAAAGAAAATTATGAAGGCGCGATGTAATGTCGATCAAAACCAGGTAACAATCTACGTGTTAAAATTTGCTTTTCTGCACAGGCAGATGTTGCTTTCAAACCACAGGACTTATCAGAGGAAAACGCACCATTAAAATGTACGAAGGACCGCGATAAAATTAATTGTTTACAGTTTCAAGTTTTGAATTAGTAAACAAATTTTAAACATGAAATGTTCCTGAATATTAAAAACCACTAACTTTCTTATCATGCTTTTAAATAAAATGCGTGTTGTAACTTAAAAAATCCTTCAATATTATCATTGTTTGATGGTGGGTGGAGAGATCTTTAGAGTCCATACGAGGCAAGTAAAACAAAAGCAGTAGTTTTCAACGATCGTTTGACAGCCAGCGTCTTAATATGTGCACAAACTTTTATTTTTCCTTGGCAGCCAAAGTTAAGCTTTGACTAGGTTCGATTCGCAATTGAACGTGGACTGAATTCTTTTGACAAAGAAACCAGCTGAAAATTTTCAGGAATGCGTCTTATAGTATACGAATATCCATACAATCTAGTTTATGTTTACAGACTCAAGGAAATTGAGCAGTACCTTGAAATAAACTGCATCAGAATAAACGTCTTCCATGGAAACTTCTTAACCCTTGAAGCGAGAGATCATTTCGAACCAAACTCTTGAAGGAAGACCATTTTCTTCGCATGCCATACGAAAAAATTGATTCAATCCAAAAATTTTGCACAATGTGAGGAAAATTTTCGTGAATTTCGGGTCACAGCCCGCTCAAATGCGCTTAACATGTAGTTCAACTTAAGATGTATTGCCATGGAAATAGCGCTGATTATTCTAACACATCTTTATTAACTTGACGTATATAAAACTAAGTAAACAAAATTTAATAACATACAGAAGATGCATTGTTTGGGTCTGTTTAAGATAATAATTAAAATTCAGTCTTCCCGCTCCTGACCAGTTTAATGATTTTATCGTCACGAGATTTCATTGATTTAAAATCAGCGTAAAAGTTTTCTTCCTTTGAATTATTTGACTGATGAATGAAACAAAACAGAACGAGAACTGATCGCTGCATTCACCTGCGCGCCACTAAATAATTGATAATCCTTGTTGATTGGTAGAGCCGTCTTCGTGGCGATAATCTGCTTACACTGCCGACGCATTCGTGATTAGACGCGCAGTAACATAGCCTGTGTTTGACCTCTTGGTTCAATTAGTTTAAAATATATTTTTTCAAATGTAAATGAGCAGAACAAAAGGATGCTTTCATCAGTTTCCGTGCGAAATTATTGTTTTCAGTTTTAGCAATAATTGAAAATTACCATGTGCATTCAATTCTCGGCATTTCCCTAACGCAAACCGCTAAACATGTGTGATATATCGTGAACATGTAAAAGGATAAGAAATAAAGTACATTTTGAACTCGGCCGTCAAATAACGAAAGTTGTTATTCATTCTCACATGAATGTGGATAAAAGAAAAAATTATAGAATCAAACTTGGACCTCCGGATCTTGCAGTCCGGGATTTTATTCCTCGATTCCTCTTGGGGAGTTCATTCCTATGACGAAACTTATAAAAACTTCCATTCCCTCAATCTCATATATGGGACAATGTTGGATTGACATGATACCTGAATCCCAACAAACTGTTCATTAGGCCGTTATTGAAGAGTTTGTTACTATTCAGGCGCAGCAATGTTTTAAAGTTACAATACCAGATTTAAACCTGAATTTCTAAGACTATCACAGATTCTATGGGTGAAAATTGTTCGTCAACAGTCGTTCAAGAAAGAAATTTAAAACATTGACATTTGAAAAAAAAATAGTATTTTATTTATCTGATGTACATTAAATGTCTATTAAATAAAATTTATTACCATATCTGGATAAATAATACATATATGATTTATCATATAAAGCCATCAGGAAAGCAGTGTGTCTAACAGAGGAAAACCATAATATTTTTTACAAAGTTACCCATAATATTTGTTGCTTAACAGGATCGAATGAGATGCGACGAGAGCACAGTCTCGTATTCATGATTCCAGTCCTTTCTCGTGCAAAGACAGCCTAAGCCTCAACCCATGAATCATAAGAATTGCCTATAACCCTTTGAAAAATTGTGGCTAACGCTTACGCACTACGTACTGATAAAGTGTTGCCTTATAATCTCTTTATTGCTAGCCATTGGAGGAAACTCACACCATGGTTGCTACAGAACCTCTGTTATGCTCCCCGATGGAGAGACCTCTTTGTTGAGGTAACAACATTTTTATTCTTGGCAAAACTCGCGTCAGTATCGCAAAAAAAAATTAGTCTAAAGTTCTATCAATCACGATGATTCCACAGTTTGTTGACGCCGTCTCTTTACACAATCTGCCAGAACGTCTTTAATGGTTTGTTCACCGAGTAATGTGTTAAATTCATTGAGATCAGCCAGGCGGCTAAACTCTTTTTCCCGATAGTGGAAGTTGAACGTGCTATAAGGGTTATGGCGACCTTCGAAAAGTGAAAAATTAGCGTAATCTATTTCTTCTTCTGTACAGCGAAATATCCCTAGAAAAATAAAAGAGCAAAATGGTACTAAGATTTTTCTTTTGTTGAATAAAGTTCAGCCTTTAGGTATGGTATGGGCATGCAAGACTCGGGGTTAGCGTCTTAGGGGTAGTAAACCATGCGAAGTTATCGTTATCATTTTCCGATACTTTAAATCATTACTTGGTAAAACTTGGATACCATAACTCATCACAATCGTTTGATCTACGTACAATCTAACAACTGACTCTCGTGATATAAAATAATAGGAAATAAGTAATACCTGGTCTAGATTCTTCCTTGAACGTTTTATTCGCCAGCAAAAAATGGATTAAAATTGGGCAAGTTGGATCGCTTGGATCACGAAATATATAGAACTCTTTTATGCCGTGTTTTCTGTACTGCGATTCAGCTGTAATGGGAGGAAATTTCATGTTGTGTTCTCTGGCCCATTTTTCCGCCAATAACAGTTCCTAAGGAGACACAGATAAAACAGATTGAGGTATATGAAGATCAAATAAGGAATTCGTATTGGTGAGCTATATCTGGGCTGAAGTATATCTAAAACCATAGCTTTCGACCGCATAGACTTTCAGTAACATACAGATAAGGCATTTGACCGCGCAATTGCAACTCGCCAAAGATATGAGCTCTTAGCAAAAGTTTTAGGACGAAACCCTTCTCCTGTGACACACGGGAAGAATAACTTTACCGGAGAGTTTTTGACCTCAAGCCAAGATTATTTTATCATATTGCTATGAACTATTAAGAATTTGAAGTATTTGGGAACTACTAAAATTAGGAATGTTCTGGGTAAGCTTTTGGGGTTTGTTAGATTATCTTGGACTCAGACAAGGGTGCGAGTCTTGTGAGCCTGGGTTTGCTATTTGGTGCAAGACCACGCATTTATTTTTACCCTTTTAGTGATGTGTCCTTGGCCATTGTAGTAGGGCTTAGTTCTCGTACGATAATTGTTATCGCTAGTCGTGTTTGCATTTGTCCTTGACCTTGCTCAGAGTCCTCAACAGGGAGTTTTAATTAGGTTTTAGTTCTATAATGTCGGATTTTTTTCAAGTACTTTGTTGTTCATTTCGAATGCCCAAAAATGCCAACCGATAGGGTATTTAAGAGTGAGTACTTAGAACTGAAATAGTTAGAAAAGAGACAGAGCCTCAGGGAGTGAAATGACGTTTCTGAACAGACTTCTGCTGCCTCCCTTATGCGCGTGGTTTTCGAGCTGGCTTACCCCAACTGTCTAACAATATGTTAATGACAAAAATTCTGCTCAGGCTTGTGCTAAGTCGGTAAAAGCCTACAACTGGGTTTATCTTAAGTAGTCGAATCTTCAGATGCAATCTTTTTACAGTACCTCAAAAGGAAATTCAACATCTCTCTTTCGTATACTGAAGTCAAAAGATATGAAAACATCCACTTTGCGTTGTGGTCTCAGTAGGGGAGGGAATGGGGAGTTGAACACGAGCCCGCTGTCAACCAAGTAAATATGACGAGAATTGAGAGTTAACTCGTCAGCGGCATCCGCCGTAACATCTTCATCATCATCCCCTTCTGTAAAACATGATAACAGTATGAAATCTATATTCACAAGACTGTTAAGGAAATCAAATTAAAGTAAGAAGGTAAAAGAAAGCTATCCACTGGAATACACGTAAATTCTCAGAATTAGTTAAAAGGAGGTGACTAAGGATTTCCCAATTTGTTACAAGTAAATTGTAAACTACAGCCCGGCTCTATTTCCCTATTGCTTCATGCATCCCTCAGTTTTCGTACGGCCTCATTAGTTCGCAGTTGTTCCTCTTTCGTTTGTGGCTAATTAGGATTCTGTTTAAGTTTGCGGATACATGTCAGAATCAGATTAACTGCGCACCCTACCGCTTTCCTGTTTGGAAGTTTGTTAAGCAGTTCATTTGGTTTTCAAGTGCAAGTGGATGATTTATGCGGTGTTATTTCAGTCAATGTAATCATTACTCGCCAGTCTCTCTCCTGAGTTGCTCATGGCCTGTTGTTCATTCAATTCAACAAAACTAAAGAAGCCGATAGAAGAAATAACAATAATTCTGATTAACAGAGGCACAAACCTGAAAGAATTGGTGCCGCTAAAATTTGAAGACCGCGAAGAAAATTATGCACCAGTCCCGCTCGGCCAGTGCGCGTTCTAAATACGGCAAGTTTGTTTACAAGGACTTCAAAGAATCGACCAAAGAAACCTTTTCCCTCTTTATCCTTTTCCTTAATTTCATCACTATTATTGTTTTCGAGCATGACACCATCCACATCATCGTCATCATCTTCTTCATTATCGCTGTCACTATCTACGTCATCACGTCCATCTTGGCAGTCAATCATTTCCCCTAAAATATAAAATTGAAACCTTAAGTATTTGCAGAAATGGTATATAACTGTCAAAGCTTGACCCAGTTTCCATGTCATGAAGTGGCTAGGAGTATGGTAACTTCTACTGGTTTTTACGTGAAAAAAGACCATTTATAACCACATACTCAATTCCTCTCTGAGATCTCCACGATTACTCATATCAGCAATTGTGTCATCTGGGATTCTTCCTTCAGTGAGAACACGCTGCAGGAGTATGGTGAACGCGCTTCCCCATAAACCTACAATCACATTAAAAATTCATATTAATCACTGACGACTTCAATGATGATAAAACTAGAACAACTGTAAATGGTTGATTGTTTTAGCAGTTAAGTCTTAAAAGTTCACTCAAAGCAAAATTTTTAATGCGATAAATAAAACAAGATCGTTGGGAACCTCAAAGCGGATTAAGACAAATGGCGCAAAGACATGACGAAATATTCTCGGAGGACACATCAAAGTTTTCACTAAGGACGGAGTGTCAAGGTGAGATCTTAGAAAATAATCCGGCCGTACAGAAAGGGATCATATGAGAAGGCCAGGTTGAGGTGTTTGTTCAACCAGCTTGAACTTATATCAACACCCACCACCCCCTTCTCCCTCCTTGTTTTGTATAAAGGGTCATGAGCCACTAAACTGGATGTGGTTTTCGGGTTCTCGAGTCTTAAATAGGGTATATAAAACTTCCCTTTTTAGCCTCCTGAGCAAATTGTCTCTCTTTATCCAAAGTCTTGAGTAGGATGTGAGCCTCAGCGAAGCAAGGTCCACAAGTGAAATATTGAAAATTTTCTTTGCACCAAATTTTAAATTTTCTGTCCGAATTTACTAGATGTAACTGGACGAGGTCAACGTACCAAAACCTTTGAAAATATTTGTCTCTAACAAGGTCGTGGCCCACGCAGCACGCTCCGCCCCACCCACCCACCCACAACCTCACCCTCCTCATGCGTTGGTTGACAATCAAGAGATCACGTACTTACCTTGTAAATAGTGAAGTGGAGGCTCAGGGTACGGAGTAACAAGTTTACCACAAAAAAACTTGCTACCAAAGCGTTCCGTCCTCATATAAGTCCCATACCTTGCTATTCCTATTTCGAACGGAGAAAACTCCAGCCATTCTGTCAATAGTGAAACAATTCAGTCATTTGCAAATCTTAAGCACATAATTAGGCTTCACTTTATCACCTGAACCACGGGAAAGAGATCTAACCCTGCATATGGAATGTTCCAGAAGAGTTGGAAAGGACTCAGCCGTGACTTTACACTGACAAATACCTGTTGGCGTTCGCTGTTTAGCTCTGTTTTTTAATTGTACAGTGAGATTTTTTTCGGAGGCGAAAAACAGCATGCCACACCTACTGATAGTACATGGTGAAATGATAGAGAGATTAACAACTTTCGTTGTATCCAGCCGTAGGTGCTAATCAAGGGACTTTCGAACTGATTTATTGGCATCACAGATCATGACAGGCGGTTTTTAAGTCGCTTTTTCCACCTAAGCATAGTAGGCAAAAGAAAATTCGCCGTTCATTCAGTTTGTGGCCATTACCGCCACTGAATGAGCTTCGTAAAACCACGTTCAGCTACAATCGATCTACGCCGATCTCCAGCCGTTTCAGACGGCTGGTTGTCATACTCAAGCTTCCCAAAAAACGTGGTGAGAAGCAATATAGGCCTTCAGGTTACTATGCCTACTAGTTGAACCTACCACAATATTCCTTGGCAGATACGTCTTTTTTCACATGCACACAGGTGTACAGTGGAAATGGTACTGTGGCATCTTTGATTTTCTTGCGTTGTTGACTTAGTTTCGGAATGTCGTCTCTCTGTTAGAAAAAAAATGAATAAATAAAAAGGGTATTAAAGTTATGTGAATTAAGGCTATGTTCGAATTCGCTTTGTTTTATTTTGTTTGAACTTTCGTTTATTTTCGAGTTTTTGTTTTTGTCTTTTGTTAATCGTCACATCAAAGAGCGACCTCGTCTTTAGAACGTAAGGAGAACCAACCCCCCCCCCTCCCCCTTCACTACGTCGTTTGAAGAGAAAAGCCTCCTAGCGACGAGGTTGTCTTAAAAACTGTTATAGAACGGATTTTTGGAAAGAAAATTTTCAACGAGAGTTTCTCCACTACTGTACTATTTCCACTGAATAGCTTTATTTCACCACTGACTATGTAGACTGCCGGCTAGAAAAGAAAAGGCTTCACTAACTTACATCCTTTAGGATTGTTTCGCCGACCAAATAACCAAAGAAGTCAGTAAAGCTGACTGGCTGTCCTTGCCTTTTCTTCTTTATGATAATCTTTAGATGTCTGTACATCCAAGATGGCGTTATCAACAGCCACATCCAGTTATCATTAACGTTTTCTTGCAGTGTCTTCCGGATCACTCTCGGATGAACGTACGGCCACTCAGGGTGAGAGTACAAAGTAGACAGATACCTTGGAAATCAAAACATTCGCGTTAAGAATACTACCAAAATCAAATGCTAAGATCCATTCATTCTTTGGCTCGCTTGAGAATGGCCTAAACCATAATTTCTTGCCTAAACGCATCACCTGACGTACTGCCTGTTTAAATGATCCTAAGAAAGGAAACCAAAGAGTCAACATCGCGGGCAATAAATGTTTTGACATAAGTCTATTTCTACCCATTCCATTTTGCCTCGCACACAGCAAAAAATATTTGAAGATAATAAACAATTGCCTCCATTTGACTAAAAAATATGTTTTTATATATTTTAAATTTTTAATAAAAATTAAATATCATCAATTTTCCAACGATGAAGTAACAACTAGGCCAAGATATCCACTTGCAACACTTCCACAACCACATGTTTTCTTATTAGCAAGCGCCTTTATTCTGCGCGAAATTCACCCTTTAGTTCGCCTATTCGTGCATCCAGCGACATCTGACAAGAGCATGTACAAACAAAACACGTTAGAAGTACTAACCAAGCTGAACCCGATAGTCCTGCTGCATACATGGCACAGTCCAACACACCCATGTCCTTCAAAGCACAGAACACACCACTCAGAGACACCATGGCACGAAACCCGCCCCCAGACCCCAGAACAGCGACCGTGGGAACCTGATTCAAAAATGCAAGTCACGTCAACAAAATTTTGAGCCAAAACTAAAGTTAAAACTGTCACATAACAACCATCTCTCTAAAAATACAAGAAACGAAAGACGTTGCAAGGATTTACAATTTACTTACTTCGTCGATTGTTTTGGGTCCACGTTCACCAAGAAATGTTTTCATCGAGCCAAAAACAAACCGTTTTCTTTTCAAAAGAAATTCCTCTTCCTCCTCGCAAAGTTCCATGCTGTATCGCATATCTTCGCTTGCGGTGCTGTAAAGTAATGGACTTACAATCAGTCGTCAGGCGTGTTACCGGGACTCACCTCTAAATTGGGAACATTTCCCCTGAGAGGATTATATATCAGGATGGGGAGGGAGGGGGGTGGGGATGAACGGTTAGTAATAAAGGGAAAACTTAGCTGCACTAAAAAAATCAGCTCCCAAGACGACAAACATACGGAACAAGATGAAAAATAATTCTTGTTTGATAAAATTCGAGCAAAAGAAAATCCCAAGTCACGAGTGAAACATAATGGTTTGTTTTCAAATTTTCACACACTTTCAGTCGCACTAAAGTTCTAATACAGAGACTCAAAATCAAAAACAGTGCATACCAATTTTCCACTCTCATTTCCACGTCAACTTCAGACACCTGATTAAGTAAAATTTCAAAGAAAAACAAAGTCTAAGACTAATTTAGCAAAATGGTTTGAAAATCGATTAAAAACAGGGCCGTAGCTAGCATGAGGCAAGACGAGGCAATTGTCTCATCTTGATTTTGGCCTTTTTTTCATTTTGAAGAAACGTCTAATTAAGAAAATAATCCCTAGAAAAAAATTGAGCATTTCTGAGCCTCTAGATTTCAACATTTTCCGGGGGGGCATGCCCCCAAACCCCCCCCCCCCCCCAAACTTGCCTCGTCTTGTTCTGAAGTCTGGCTACGGCCCTGAAAAACACAAAATCTTAATTGGGACGAGTGTTGCGTGACGTTAGCAGGACTCGATAAACCTTAACAGGGTGATTTAGTGATATCAACTGAGTTTATAACGTAAATTGGCCATCGTAAAGAGTTTAAAGGCTGACGAAGGGCTAACGCTCGAAACGTCAGCCTTTAAACTCTTTACGGTGGCCAATTTACCTTTTAAACTCTGTTGATAACACTAAATTACCCTGTTATGCTCTCCCACCGACGCAGCACCACATTTTCTTTCGAAACTTACTCCCTTTGTTCATCGATAAACTTTAACCAGTTTCTCAACCCAGTTTCCATGGCTCATAATCAGTTGTTTTACCTTCCGAAACGTGAACGTCTTCTCATAAGTCTCGTCGACCTTCAAGGTTGCGAGATCGAAGATTTCTTTCTCGACCAAATCGTCATGAAACAAGTCACAGTCCATCAGTGTTATTTCTGAAAAAAGAACAGTTGTATTGGAAAATTCTAGATTTTTGGAGAAAAGGCTGGTAACATTTCCTGCGTTTTACAGCTTTTTAAACTGCTTTAGACTTAACACTTTTGGATCTTTTTTTTTTTTTCAAAAAAGAACCCAACAAAACAAAACGTGCAATTATATCACCTTTGTAACCATTTCCCAACCATCCCTGAGCCAAATTCTCACCAGTTTACCCAATATTACAAAAAAAGACAAACAACCAGGATGGTCACTTGAGCGCAGGGTTTATGACTAGTAATCTCCACGAAGTTGAACAATCACTTTTATTACTTGGCCTGCCAAACAGGTATTATTCTGAGTGCGTGTACGTGTGTCATTTTTTGGCAGATTGAGGTAAGCCCTTGGCGAGCGCGAATCACGCGCCAGTCACGCACATATTTCAGCTGACCTTGCTTCTAATGTTTGGACTGTTATCGTGACCCTTTTATACGAGCAATGCCTACTTACGTAACAAATTCATCTTATCCGGGTCAAGAAAAAACTGGAACATTTCATCCCATTCCGGATTAGAGGTATTTCTCTGAGCCTTGGTTCTTCGTTTCCCGTTTGGTGAAGTTGGTATAAATAACTTGACATAAGGATCAGGAGTATCAACTGAAGAGAATTATACGGTTGAATGTACTCATTAATAGGCGTACACGATTGGCTGCTTTCTCGGGGTTAACGCAAATGCGGCGTGAGTGTTTTACGGGGTCTGGAAACAAAAATGCCAGACCCCTCGCCGGCCCGAAAGCTATGGGCGTTGCTCTCGTGCCGCGATACCAGTATGCGCCTGCTTCCAGACTAATTTTATTTTTACAGTTACTACAGTTGATTTAAATACTGAAAAGTATTTGAAAACGTTTTATTTTAATGCATTATGCAGCCTTTGGCAGATAATATTAAGGAACCGTACTGCTTTCCTACAACACACAGTTCTGGATCCCTAACGGTTTCTCGTCTAATAATGTCAGTAGTCTGCGCAAAAATTGCGTCGTTCGTCTCTGTTTACCATTTAATTATCATATCCAACCCTCTAAAGGGTTTAAAAATACGTCTTCACCTATCCTTTTCAATGTCTGCTTTTCTGTCATCGTTCCCCTTGCTTTTAACCTTTTTAATCACAATTTGTCTGCTTAAAGTCCACTTGAATCTTGAAAAAATTTCAGAAACAACCGAGGCTTTTTAATGCAAGGGACTGAGCCAAGAAGACGTCTGATAAAGGTGACTACTTTGAACATGCACAAATGTTTATTAAATACTTACTCATGCCTTCCAAGCCGCCTACAGTTATATTACGTCCACGAAGTACTCTGATTGTAAGTCTGAGACATGAACGATACGTCGCCTGTAAGTCAAATAGAGAAACATCACTGGTGAAGCAGATAACTGAAATTATACCTTTCTTTCTCGAGCGGTCCTTAAAATCAATTGTTAATCTGTTCTCAACCTTGATACACAATATGTTTTCTTTCTGATAAAGAATTAACGGCGAAAGGAAATGAACAAACAGAAAAATATTGAAAAGAACATCATCGTTTATGATATTTTAAACTTTCTTTTTCTTTTATATTGAAAAGAAATACTGCCTTAAAATAGAAAAGTGATTTTCAGTCTTAATGAACATTTAAGGAAGAAGTAGAGCAGTTGTATATTGTCCCTTATTAAAACACCATGTCGAATTAAAAAAACAAACAAACAGAATTTTAAATTAAACGTTTTACTTCTTCTACCACAGTACTACGTCTGCAGATGGTTTAAGAAAACGATAAAGAACTAAGCTTGCAAATGCCTTACCTGCACGAATCTTCGCTTGGGCCGTTTTCCGAAATCTCTCTGCGGTCCAACATTTGTCTGAGTGTTGTTTACATCGAGAGAATGCGGTTTTCTCTCACCTAACAAAAAATCCAAGCAACTGTCAAAACTTAGTCATGTGTTACAGTTCTCCTCGCACGCTCGTATCCATCAATTACCTATAGAAACGCACACCATGTTTTATCGTCCGTACATGAAAGCTGATGGTTTGTGAAACTTATAGATAATGATAAGGAACACTTCAAACTTAAAGTACTAGCCTGTCCTGTTTCGAAAAAATCTTGCATGCTTCTTGAAAGTACAATTCGCCACGAGGGCTTCGAAATGGCTTCAAAGAAGGAAACGGGATAAGAAAAGACAGACATACAAGCTACAATTAAATTTTAGAACGTGTTTTGTTCTCATGGATTACCCTACAGAAATGCCTCAGACATCACCAGTAGAGCGTGGATTTATTGTCCTCACCCCAACAAGTTCGTAATTAGTTTTCCGCACATGTATGTACGCGTCGCGGACTAACGTGTTAGTGAGTCGGGTAAAATTTACGCACAGCGCCATACTATTGCTAAACAAATCTGTTTTCCCAATGGCAATGTATTGTTTTTGTCATTGTTTTCTCTATCCAGGAACTGAATGCATAATGTAGTATGTGGCTGCGCGGAAATTTTACCGTGAGTCGTTCGTTGAGAAATAGTAATATGTTGAATGGAACACATTTGCAACAACTCGATGAGGTTTTCGTGACTGATGATAAGTTTTCCTAGTTTAATTGAACCACGAAAAATGAATCGTCCACCCACAGTAATTAACCTTGAGTCGCATTAACAAACACAGTTTGTAAAACCATGAGACATACATGTCAGGCCTTTGTCTAGTAAACGATAACTAAAACTGACACAAAAACCTAATTGTGACGAAGTCATTAAATTATTTCAACCAGCGTTAATGAGCTCAACTGAGCGTCACCAGAAAACCTTGTTTCAAAGGAGAGTCAGTGAGACTCGAAGACTGAAATTTACGAAACAATTAGTTGGCTTCGTTATGTCGTCAAAAAGTGTGCGTGTCCCTAAGCAAACGCTACGCAGTTTTCACTTCAGTCTATTTCACAACTTTCCGCCAACACATCCGTTCTTAGAGCTTCTTCAAAATACTTAACAACGATGGCAAAATTTTGTTTCCATAGCGTTTTTATTGACATTTCAAAACATTGTAACGCTCACGTTTGTCAAAGAACGAAGAGCAGAATTAACGTCGAAGACATGGGCGAAAATTAAGCTACTGAATCAAAACCTGGTTAGGGAGACTATAACACTTACAAAGGATATACCGGAGAAAATATACTAGAGACTTACATGTACACCCAGATTGAATTAGTATGATGCGTATTTAAAAGTGATGGACTAAACACTGACCCCAGTCCATAGGTTACCCCGTTGGATTACGCAAATGGACTAACAAATACAACGAGAGTGGGGCGATTGTTTTAAACATTTAAAGTCCTTCCAACAAAAAATTGCTCGAAGTCATATGTTACTTCCCTTCGTATTGGTCATGAATTAAGGCGGTAATTAGATAATAATATTCACTGTTTTGTGCTTCAGTATAACGATTGACGCAGATGTTTGTCATGCACATTAGAGATTCTTCACAGTCAGCCATCCGTCTAGATTCAGTGATAAATGTAGTTTACAGCAGCAATGTGATGCCAAGGTGAAGCAAAGCACAACAACACGACATATTGTTTAAACCGTCACGTTGCTATTGCTCTAAATAAGAGAAAACGTGTTTAATTATGAGTCGACGTGTTTACAAGCGTGACGAGTTGAAGCTCTAAGTAGAAGCTCTACGGTATAGCATTGAAGTGGACACAAGTATTAAGTGCAATGCCGGTGGAACTGAAACTCTGAATTAGACTGCTGAAACGATTTATTGCCATTCCCCGCGCTGAGTAGAAGTTAATTTTGGCTTTCGACTAAAAACTACTGCGTGTCAGTAAATAACGAAGGCACGAGCAATGTAGGAATATAGATAGCAGTGCTCTCAATAGAACTCATTCGAAACAAGATTTTGTAACGTTGGTTAATATTGGCAGTCTTTACGGGTAGTGCATGAACAGGGGATCAGTCCATCACCATATTAAATTATTGAAGATAAGGTCGATAAGTGAGAAGCGCAAAAACGGCATAATTTAAACTGTCATCTGTAAGGATTTCGAATGGATGAAGAAAAGGTATACTGCATTGCTTCTTACCTCGACAAGCCAGTTGATTGAGTTGGGTCTTAGGATGAGCAGTTTGTCTTTCTGGAGTCGTGGAGTCTTGGCTAGTCAGGTGTCTGTCGTGATTTTGATGATTAACGGTTCCATTGCGGTTTACTTCTCCACATTGTTCCTTGTCTGAGCGCGATGAAGGATTTACGCTTTTGATCGAAGATTTACGCACCTTTGATGGCCTAGAACCCATACTTAAGAACAGCTACGTGCTACGTTTCTCCTCTCTAAGTTTTTTAGACTTAAAAAGAGCAAGGTGCAGGATTGCGGAAAACTTGTGACACATGTCACAAAGTTTTTTTTTATCATAAATAAAAGAAACAAAGTATGCTTACAATTCGCAGCTTCTAGATTTTAATGACGTCATTAACATTTCATCTTTGTCAATGCTTGTTTACTATAGCTGCCGGCAGCGTTTAAGATGACGTAATCAAAGCAAAAATTTAAATATTTTTCTTGTTCCAGAACCTTTTTCGTTCGTCTCTCGGCGCCCTTTACTTTTAAAGTTCGTCGCTTTAAACCCTTGAAAATCTACTCCCTCCTCAACTCTTCCCTCCCCTCCCCCCCTTCCCCTTTTGGCATTTGCATCAGGTCTATTGATTGAGTATTGAGAAAGTTTAATGGTAATCATCGACAAAATGACAGGGCAGAACTCATTTTAATACTTGTTAAAGCATCTCTTTTTGTGAAATACACTCGTTGTTGGCGTCACTGTAATCTTAAGGAAACCTACTGAACTGCTAGGCTGGAATTACGACAAGGGGCTTAAGTTTTGTCTACAAGGCTATAAGGCGTCTTCTAGGTTAGTGCAATGATATCCTTCATTTAAAGCATCAGCCCCGAGGAAGACCAGAGGCGCAAGTCGAAGTTTTGAGCTTTTTTAAAAGGTTAAAACTCTTTACACCATAACATCAGAACTGTTCTGTAAACATTTCCTATGTTACCACTGTTTGAAAACCACGAGCTTCTTTAATGGGTGATGATTTCCTACATTCTCATATCCTTAATGTTTGATTTAGGGGGGATACTGTGAGGAGAAATTTGTTGCTGGTCACTCTTAAACACGAAGGCGCGCTATATAGGGAGAGGTGCCTTAGGTACCTCTGGATCATTTGTCACTCAACCGTAATGGCATACAGAACTCCAAAACAGCTTGAGCTGCAGCCAATGCAAGGAACTGACCAGAGGCGTATTTCTCGGTAAATTTCTACGTTTTCATCACAATGGAAGAATTTGTTGAGGTTTGTATCACCTTCCTCCGATCGAAACCTTCTTCATTTGTGGCGGTAAATTTGAAATTCGAAATGATTCGCTTCGCCATCGCGTAAAACTGCCATGGCGTAATTTCATGTCTGCTTCTAAATACTGGATTTAGATGACCGTAAGAATAAAAAGAAAAGATGAAGAAATGAGAAATGACTATGAGAGAGAACACTTGCGCATGGGTAAAGTGGGAAAAGAAGCCCCTTTTGATAAACGGAGGGAAGTAGGAACAATCCTGTTAAATATACGTTAAAAACCTACACAAGTTATATAAATATTTAAATGTCTTTCCCTTTTATGGACTCTTCAAGATGTAAGCAGTGTTTTTGATCGTGCATTTCATTCATTTAATTTTTATTACTATTCTGGTACAAACTGTGGAATATATCTAGAGTCACGCGGTTTTACCTGTGGATTCGATTGGTTAACAAGGATATCGATGGGCTGATAAGATTCTAGACCGTGAATTTCTGGCTCAGGATCCGGCGTCACCCTTGTTGGTTTGTGAAAGAATGAAAACGTGAAAAAAATTTGTATGACCGTCCCTACTACAGACAAAACAATGACAGAAGTTGTGATAACTTTAAAAATCCACGGATTCCACCGCGAGTCACTGTTCGTCTTTGACCATGAGTAAAACAGCAAAATCATCACAACGTTTTCACCGGTAAAACAAGAGTAAAAGAGAGTTGAAGAAATCACGGATCTGCCAAGTTTTATGTCGAACAATTTGGCATTGAGATCCATTACTTTAAATCCCAGGTAAACGAATACGTAGCATGGCATAAGTAGCAAAGCAATCCACCAAACTTCTTTCTCGCTGAAGTATTTGTGATTTCTATAGACATAAATTGTTATGCATATCAACTCATGGAAAGCCAGGACAGCTGAGGTAAACCATTTGAAAGCAACAAGGAAAGCTACAATTGACATCCCACGAGCTGCGATAAGGCAAACGTTGTAAAATATCATAGCCAAAAAATGTGTTACTGTGGCCTCTTTAACAAAGCTGCAGTACTCGAACAAGGTCATTACCCAAACGAGGTTTATAAATGTAACACAAATCGAGAAAATTTGTATCGGATAAATTTTTTGCTCTTGAATGACTGTCACGTAAATCTGAAGAATAATTTGCGGCATGTTTTCCAAAAGGCCTTCTACATAGTGATAAACTTTTTCAGCTCTGTAATCCTGTCGAAGTTTTTCGTCGTCCACGAGCCAACCCCGGACGCTTCGCACTTCGTCATAATTCCGTAAACAAACGAGTAGAAGCTTCATCTTCAGAAAGCCAGATCCGCATGGATTGGCAAAGAAAATAAATTTTCCCACCAGTACAATCTTGCTCTCTTGTTTGCAACGTTGCAAGAGGTATGCAAGTGTTAATAGGAACGATGGCAAAACTGCAAACGCCAAGCAAAAGCCAAACCAGATAAACTGTCGCTGTCGGTAATAAGTTGTTGCTGTCAATATGTCGGTTGCTACGTCAGAACAAGTTAGGAACGCACCAAAAGAATACTTGAGAAGTTCGTATTGGCCAAGTCGTATAGTATTTTCAGCCATTTTCCCATTACACTGGTTCACTGATCATCGAAGTTTTGATGTTGCTTGCACAATTGTTAAACGTGAAAATCTAAACTTGCTCTCAATCCGTCTTTGGTCTGAAAATAAATCTCATCGATGAAATCATGCGTGACTAGTGTGTTATCATACAACGTAGTAATGCAGCAATTTGTGATCTTTCTGTCGGCTGCAGACGTTCTTTTGTCTTGAATTAAATCGTTTTTCGTCCAGAATTGATCGACGATTTGATTCCTTCATCGTAGAAGTTAAATATATCTCACCAAAAGCTAAACCACTAATTAGTTTGCATATCACCTTACGGCATTTGCAATGAAAATTAATTACATTTCTGACGTACACAAGTCACGGCCGACCGAATAATACATTTTCTGAAGAAATGTCTTCTTCGATAAGTGTTTTACTGGTAAACTAAACAACGACAGTTCTTGCCGAAGGAAAATCTTTCTCGTGGATTGCCCTAAATCGCAAAAATAGAGCTCTAATTTTGTCAATATTTAACTTTGTCATGTTTTATATTATCTGAACAAAGCTCGCATGTGGTGATCGTGATGTAAGCTGAAAACCATTTATGACATTTTTTATTAGCCTATGAAAGCCTTTCATAATCCCAAATAATAATTTTCCCTGATATGACGAGAATATCTTAAATGTGTAACTTCGTAGATTTAAGTGTATTTGTAAATTTCACGTTCACGCGAATCAGGTTTGTTATTATGTCACGCAATAAATGAAGAGACAGAAGAAGACTGGGGCGGGTTATGAGAACTGTTGTGAAACATTTTAAGATGGTGGAGGGACTACGCGAAGCAACGGTTTTTGTGTAGCAAATGCATTTTTCCCATCCGATTTCGATCTAAACTGCATGGGAAATTTCCCTTTTGTCTGAGGGATCATAGATTTATATTGGATGAGCTTTTCGTTTGGTGAAAAATGGATCAAAACGAATCTTCCGTACCGAGACGTGATGCATGTGGTCGACAGAGAGAAACACACGGAAGAAAAGATATGACTCTTCGTAGGAGAAACTTCTCTTTTCCATCTGAAGAGAGATCAAAAACCCTCCAACTGAAAATTAGAATGATGAACTTCAATAAATTTCGGAGGCGAAAAGGGCCGGCTTGGACAAGAAGTGAACAGGAAAAAGCGAGGTCTTCACATTCAGGAAGCAGTAAAAGTTGTACGTTGGAAACAGCTGATTCGAATCAACCTCGGAACTCTGGTGTTCGAGATATCCTTTTACAATCCTGTCAAAAGCCGTATTTGATATAATTTTCCATTAACCGAAGTATATACAAAAACGATACAGCCATTATTGTTCCTTTACCAAGACTACAAATTCCAGGGTTTTATTATGATCCAGAGAAGAAGCGTTATTTCAAAATCACCAAAGATCACCCTGGCAAAAATTTTGCGATATGTCAGGATGGAGGATATAAGAGTATCTCATCCAATAATCATAACAGAGTAAAAGCTGGAGATATTAAGGTTATCAAAGTGAGTATAACTCTATTTACAAGTTGTTTACATTTTGCTTCCTGGAAACGGTTATTTCCACTCACTATGATTGTTTTCGGATTTTGCAATTCTTCAATTTGCTGTCAAAAAAATTTAAGTTTGCAGTGCCTGCAGTTGTCATTGATCAGCCAAGAAAATTATCTTGTCTCTTGACCAATCAGATGCACACAAATAAAATCTAGACTCAGTAATTTCCAGAATGACTGTGGTTGTTAAAACGTCCAACTCTAAAAACTTGTTGATGACATTCAGTGAGGTAATTTTCTGAATGGTTACTGGCCATTCAACTGATGATCTGTGATGTTCACAGTTATAAAATTGCCAATAATTATTAAGATTTCTTGTGTTTACTATGTTACAATTTCAGAAACCATCAAGAATTTCTATCTTAAATAGCCTTTATGATAGGGAGTACTCTCTCAGCACACAAACAACTAGTAGGTAAGTCAAGAAAATGACATGATTTTTTTAGCTTTAAAAATTAAACAATCACAATAGATATTTGATATACAATCGAATTAAAATTTCATAATTAAAATTGATGTTGCAGGAATATATTAGAAAAGCTTACTCAACTGGTAAAGGTTAGGCAAAGACTTGTGTTAGATCCTTGTGCTGATCACCACCTTGAACTGGATCAGTTTGCAGTGTCAAGGATTGAGGTAAGTTTCTGTCGACTCTTTAGAATCCATTAAGGGCATAGCTAGGGGGGGATCTAAGGGTGTATGTGACCCCCCCCCCCTTTGCAAGCCTCTTTTTGTCACATTAAGTAAAACACAGCATGTAAGTTGACATGACAATCTGGTGAGTACCCTCTATTTGACACAGTATGACCTGCCTTTGAAAAATCCTGGCTATGCCCCTGTCCATCATTATTAATACCTCCAAGTGTGGAGATGAATTAGGTGTCTTGCTTGAGTCTATCTAATTTTGTTTGTGGATCCCTTTAGTATGGAGTTGAGCTTGGGAAAACCACTGAGCCATCCCATCCTCCAACTTTTGCTGTACAACAACCCCATAAAGACAATCACTTGCCACAAGATGGTTTTGTCCATCATTACTCCTAGAAAGTGTTCTCCCTTACTTTAAGCAGGAAAGGTAATAAGTTTTCAAAACAGTAGTCAAGAGCAATTCCCTCTACTTGTTGGACTTAAAAAATTCTGAGATATTTAAGGCAGTAATAGGAGAAACTACAGGCTCTAATTTTACCAGTTACCACCTGAAAAGGAAAGCACTACAGTTTTATGTTCTAAATATATTTTATGTTTTTTTGTGAATTTATAGTAATGAGATGTTAAAGTTGCATTACACATCCTTGTACAATATGTTTTGTCACTGCATACTCACCAGAAATTGTGCCGTGGATGAAGTAAGGGGAACTTGCTTACCAACTAACTAATAATTATCATCAAATCTGTTTTTTATGTTTAATTTATTCTTTACAGCCTGATGCATGCTATGAGAGGATACTAACACTTTATGAGACCAAACCCACGGGGAACCAAGTGTAAGATGTTTTTTAGCATTCTAATAACTTATAGAAATGTGCTACAAAGGGAAACGTAGTTCTTTTTCATGCAACCCCAACTGCCTCCTGATATCACTTGAAACCTCACACTACCTTGTGACAGTATAACTCACACACCACTCATCTCTTACTCCTCTGAACTTGTCGCAGATTTTTCATATTCTATTTCTGGTAAATGCAAATTACTAGGTAGTAATAATAATGTATAATAAATATAAAAAGATTTTTTTTAAGTCATTAGATATATGTAACAGCACATGTTAAGATCTGCAACTCACTGTGGCATTTATTGCACAGCATTTGTGCAGTCTTCAATCAATCATCACAGTAAATTTTTAAATTCTCACACTATTTCTGTTTGTGGTTTTTTTTTTTCTACAGAGTACAATTTCACGATTTAAAAAAGGACAAAAACAATAAGTTTGAAGTAGTACATAATATGGCGATGATGAAAAACCAGGTATTTTCATGTAACAGGCTGATTGAACTTGATTAAAATTCGTAATGTTTTCACATTCACTCAAAGTTGATTCATACATGGTTTTCAGCTTGAAAATTTTGCAGAATTTCACTGGTTCTCTATCATATTTTAGGCTACTTGAAGTGATAAAACTTAACTTAATAGTTGAAAAAACAGAATTATTTAGAAATGATCATGATAAATTTAAATGTAAAATGGCCAGTGGATGTCAAAGATGTTTTCACTTCTTAAATTTAAGAATGAATGAATTGCTTTTTGTTGTTGTTGCTCATTAGAAAATAACAGGCCTTCTTTGGAGTCCACATGAACAAACAAAGAACATGTATATGTATCCTTTGTAGAGAAATATCTTGTAACCATTTGTCTCAAATGTTGGACAAACAAAAGTGTCTCTGGTTGAGTCAGGTTAACCCCTGAGAGTTTTAACCCCACTGAGGTTCTTTGTCAAATGAGCTGAGAAGAACTTAAGTAGTTAGGCCATACATACATCATTCTGCATGGTAAATATGTGACAAGTGCCTGTAAACTGCTAACAGTGGGCAACATTAAAAAAGTCCTTTATAAAAATTGGGGGGTGAAATGATATCCACTGAAAATTAACTATTTATTTTGAGCATGTTTATCAAATGATTGAAGATGTTACCAATCAGTCACAAGCATAGGAAAAAATGTTGTTCAGTTGAGGAACTGTTTTACAAAGATGAAGGACTTAACTGAAGGAGGGAATTCAAAGAGTTATCTGGCATTGTTTTTACATATACCTTTCATTTTCATATCTCTAGTGAACTGTTTTACCCTGTTACTGAGCTAATTTCAGTTGTAGTCTGTGATAGTGTGGATTTCAAGTGTGAAGTTATTTCTCTAACGGTATAATTTACAGAGTATCTTTACTTGGTTATGGAAATATGTCTGGGGAAACCATGATTTTTACAGTGGAAGGTGCTTCACAACGTAAGTGTTTGCCTTTTACAATGAGATTAAATCTGACCTTTTTGAAACATTTAATGTTTTAATCTGAGAATAATTTCCAGTAATAGCTGCTAAACATGTTTTGGAGGTTTTCAGCTCTAGATTTGTTATAAGCACATAATTGTAGCTTAGAAAAACTTGGTATTGTTGCTCTGGTTTTACACAGGGATAGTTGGTAGAACTTCAGTACAAGGGAATTCAGTGTGGGCTAATTCATGGAACAGAAACCCTTTGTATAGTAACATGATCAGTATTGGTGAGTGATAATTGTTTATAATAACTTACAACAATTATTTATAATAAAATTATCTTGCAGTCAGCACAATAAGCAGAAAATATTGAGTTTGGTTTCTTTGCTTCTTTTCATTGCTCTCTTTTTGATAATTGACAAAATGGTCAAAAGACAGACTACCTGCTGACTTTCACTGATTCTGATGGATGTTTTAACCCTTTCACTCCTAAGATCTAAACATTAATTCTCTATACCATTCCTCCAATGTTGCTTATGATTCTAGTTCTGTGATTTTGATGTAAAATAAAACAAAATTCCTTTCTTGATATTTTTTTTCTTCTCATTACGTTTCTGCTCAAAAGATATCGAAAGGAGAAATTCATTTTTGGTCACTCCTGAGAGCAAAAGTATTGATTGGTTGACTGTCTAACCAAATACCACTGGACTACCAAAGGAAGGAAAGATGAATGACTGGACTGGCTGGTCGAATGTTTAACAGACTGACTTAGGCTGTCCAAATGATTGACTGAAAAATCCACTGACTGTCCTGTCTTACTGACTGACTGATTGACTTCCTGTCTGTCTGACCAGTCAACCAATAGACCACCCTGTCTGACTGATTGATTGATTGATTGATCAATTGAGTCACTCACTAATCATTTGTATAATCAATTAACCAACTGAATTAGTAAATGATTGACTTTGACAGACTG